GAAAATATATATGTTAATATATTTCTTTAGATGATTCGGTAATCGAAAGCGATTCATGTGTGGAGAAAGGTGAACTATTATTAATGGAGTCAATGTCTTCCATTGCATATGCAAAAATGACGGATATTAATGACGGTCAGCAGATGCTTGTCTATATGTGATAGTTTAGATCAATTTATTACGTTGTTTAGATAATGCAGCTGCTGCCACGGATAATAATGGTGATTCAAAAGTTGGACATAAAGCTGCGTGTATAACCATAAGCACAAACGATGAGGGTAATACAACATAACTCTTCAAGAGCTTGGTAATCGACTACTTCATTTAGGCTCGATTAACATGAGTACAGAAGCTGATACGCTTGTACACTCGACTGCTGATGTTTGGCCGCACATTGAAGGTGTCTGTTTGCTTTTCGATGTGCTGAGCGTTACATTGACATGTATATGTATATGTATATACTGTTTTAGAGTTAATTGTACCCGAACAAAATGGTTTGTCATTATTAGTAACAACCAGTGCCGTAACTAGTTACACTACAGCGAATCATGAATATCCAATGCTAAAGAACACTGTAACTGAAACGACTGATATTGTTGGTGCTACTGTATCAAAACAAAGTGATTTGCCGATCAGAACAATCACTAAAAGAAATTTAGATATGAAAGTTAACAGCTTCATATGTGAGAATGTATCATCAATGTTACAATTTCCATCTATAGTTATGACCATCACTGATTTGGCACGTAGTTCTAGTCACATGTTGAAAACGCAGCGTGATCCAATAATTCGTGATTTAGTTATTGGTGGTGTTTTGAAAAAGGACAACTTTTTTGCATCAATGAATAATTCCAAAAAAATACGATTGTGGCCCGGATACGCCAAATTACTTCCAGAGAAGGATGATGAGGAATCACGATTAAAATTTCGTGAAATATTGGGCAAATATGGTTTGGATTTGAGCTCATACGAATCCTTTTTTTCTAGTATTGGATCATGTAAGTCTGCCGCCTTTATTATTGAATGGTTTTGCTAAGCTGCGCGTTTCATTCAGGCTTGTCAACAAGTACGAGGTTCATGTTTAGTGAGTCAACTGCTGAATTAATGAAAATGGATTGTTACAGACATTTGAAATATGATGATACCCAAATTTTGTATCCCTATGATGTTACGGCTATAGAACATGCTGCTGAGCTACAAGCCGGAGTAAATGTGACAGGTGCTAGACAAACCACCGAGTTGCGATATGTTATTCTCCA